TTAAATGAATGTATTTTTGAAATTTGGGTGGCAATGAATGGTTGGATGATTAAAATAGTAGTGCATATTTTTTAATGGTGCTTGTGTAATAAATTTTTATAGTGAAATGATTTTTGATGTTTTCTGTTAAAAAAAAGGGGGTTAAATGAATACTTTTTTGAATTTGAGCAATGAATGATAAAAAGCAATTCATATTTTTTTAATGATGCTTGTGTAAATATAATTTTATAGTTGAATGATTTTTTTGTTTTTTTTTTAAAAAGTGAGGGTTAATTTTGTTCCAATAAATATTTTTTTGAATTTGGCAATGAATGGTTAGATGATTAAAATAGCAGTGTATTTTTTTTAACGGTTGCTTATATATATATATATATATATATAAAATTTATGGTTGAATGATTTTTGATTTTTTCTATTAAAAAAAAAGTAGTTAAATTTTGTTCAAATGAATCGAAATGAATGTAGAACAACAATAGCGAAATTTGCTTTTTAAAAATTATAACACATGCTAGTGCAAAATTTACAATAATTATACTAGGGTATTATGGTCAATATATTGATGTCCCCATGTCCGGTCATGTTTTATCCATATCAATCCCCTCAAACAAACATGATTAGATAAATTTTGTTAATCCCTCCTTATAATCCTAACTCAATTCAAACATAGATATGGTCACAATCAAAAGGAATTCGTAATCCTAAGACTATTAATCATGGAAATACTAATCCAGCTAATCTAATCGCCCAAACAAAACATGTCCTTAATTTTAACTACAATAGAAGTAGCCATGTTACTAATAGGACAACTTGATAAGTCACCGACAATAAAAATAAGTCATTGATAGTTAAAAATCGTAATCATTTAAATTATATTCATATCATTAAGATAGAATGATGTAGCAAGTCATTGATAATAGCATGACACGACAAGTCATTGATATGAATTGATTCATGTCACTCTATAATATTTTTGTTTGGATTTTACGCCTATTTTTAATGAATTTAATAAACAAAAAAATAGATAATTACAATGGATCATATGCGACATTGATAGAACTCCCGATTAGAGAATTACAAGCAAATTCTAAAACTCATATATGTACTTAAAAGACTAAACATAAATCGTCTGGAGTGAAATTGAAAAACAACCTCCAAAACCTGTATTATAATTTACAATTCAATTACTCGGCTAATTTGTCACAATGTGCATATTACAATCACATGTTAAATCGCATCTAAAAAACATAATTTTAATAAGACATTGCAAGATTGAAATCGTATCTTCAACCTGTCACGTTGGCACCCTATGCAATGCTAGTGGATGCTTGAGATGGTCATATCAACATGAAAATATCTTTAACATTGCGATTTTATATTGAAATTGCATTTTGAAAATAGGATTTAAAAAAAAAAATGCACTAATTTGCTAAATTGTTTTGAAAAGTAAAGCATTTTTATAAATAATTTTGTTTTTTCCAATATTTATAAATTAAGAGAAAAAAAATATGCGAATCTTTAGTTTGATAAGTAACAACTCTATCATTCACACCGTAAAAAGTACTTAAATAATGAAATGTGTGAACCATATTTATTTTAAATTTAACATACATTATATCAAGTTTAAATTACAATACAATTATACTTTTAGGCCATGTTTGATTCACAAGATTAATAGTGAAGGTATTAATAATGTCATCAAATTAGTATGATATTTATTATCCAATTGGATTAGTAGGATAAATTATCCTATTGTCTATTGTTTGATTTGCATTAGATAAGAAAACATATGAATGTTCGATTACACATAATTTATCTTCTTTTCCATTTTTGCCATCCATCAATGTTTCTTTACAATCTTTACTTTAATCAAAATTTCTTCATAAATGTGGTTTTGAAAAAAATTATAAATTAATAAATAAAAGAAAAATAAAAATACAAAAATACAAAGGCGATGTTTGGTTTGTTTTTTATTTTTATTTTTTTCAAATATGAACTAATTTGATAAAATAAATATCAAAAAATATTTTTAACTTTTAAAGATTATTTTTAGCCTTCTAAAATATAAAATTATATAAGAATAATAAGTGTTTTTTAATTTTTAGTCAAGGGTAAAGAGTCTCTTTGTTTTTGTCCCAACTCAGGATATATAATCCCACCCCTACCCCATTACTAATAATCCTTACAAATTTATTGGATAAATTATCGCATTGGATTAATAATCTTGAAACAAAATTTTAAAATAAACAACAGGATTATTGGCTCATAGATTAATAATCTTAATCTCATACCTCTAATCTTGTCATCAAACATGTCGTCTAAGTGACTATGTGCTCAGATTCATCATAACTTTTCCGAACAAAAAACGCAAAAGTTGTTCTCTCTTGGCAGCAAACAGTGAAACGCTCAATGACAATGCCAGTGCTAGAAATGCCAGTTGAAACCCCTACTTCTCCAAAATTCACCTCTTCAAGCTCTTTAATGCAGTGGACTTGGGTGTGCAGCAGCTCCAACCACGTCACATGTGATTCTACAATAAGGAAATGGGATGCGGGAAAAGGAAAATTGCAAAGGAAAAGTTGAATTGCCAAACACTGGAATCAGTTTACTTGAATGATCTTCCTGGAAAACGATTTCAATACCCTCTTCAAAGGACTGCCATCTAAGGTTTGTTCGGTAACAAATGTGATGGAAGTTTCTTGTTATGGGTGGAGCACCGGGTCTTTCCATGGCCGACTTTTTCCTCGTAAAGCTTGCATTTAGTTCATTCCTGTTACAGTGTTCATTGGCTATACTCAGAGTTTGTACATCCCATTTGTTTCAAACTAGTAATTAACCTTGTACTTATCAAATTATTCTTGTTAATTCCTATCACAATATAGCAAAGGAGTTAGATGTTGGTCACATATTGTGATTGGACACATGAATAATTTTCATTGACCATGTCATGCCACTAGGAGAAAGATCAAATATTTACTCTAACTAATGACGGTACTATATGTATTTATTTTGTATTTGTTGTATGGATACATATAAACGTTTTAAAAAATGGAAAAATTAATTCAAAATTGTAATTCAAAATGGGCAATATAAACCCGTGTAAAAATGGTCTTTCCCATGTCTTTTCCAATGTTTAATCGAAAATTTCATAAAGTTAGAAATTTTATATGATGGGTTGGTGCATGTGCAACTTAATTAGGATGTGCTTCTTAAGCAATGGAATGAATGGTTTCGATCCCTACTCTCTTTTTGTTAATGTAATATCATTGTACTACTTGTATAAGTTTGTATTTTTATTTCATATGACCGGCATTTGCTTTTGAGCATGTAATAAGCTTGCACACTAACCATTTCAATGGTTTCTTTTGGTGAAATAAAAGACCAAAGGACTCACAAGCAAAGAAGGCTTGGCAATTAAACAAGGGAGATTTACATATCAAAGACAAGCCACTCCTGTTGTAAAGAGAAGCCTACTTATCTCAATTTCCATGAGATTTCACACAATGTTTTCTCAATCTAATCCCAAGAGGTGGTTCCAAATGGTTGTATGGTGTTGTACCTTCGTGGTAGGGCTATCTTCTGATCCTTTCAGACATGGGGAGCTGCTTTAACTTGGGAACTATTAGCCGTAGCCATTGCTGAATTGGTTTCCACAGTAGCTGCAATTTTTAACAACTTCTTTTCCATTAATGTCTTCGTTTTGATGTTCACAATGCTTCTTACATACTCTAGAACACAATTTTTCTAGGCCTAAAATGGCAAAACATGCAAACTATAAATCGAAAATTCCCTTAGGTGCCGTCCACAAAGTCTGATTTGCGCTTGTTATATATTTTTTGTGGGCCAATTCTCATTTCTCAAAGTTCGTTTCAATCATTCGTCATTATTCCTCAAAATTCATTTTTACATACATATAATAAACTTATTCTTTAATCTGAGTTAAAGAGTTGCGTAACAAAAAATTAACTTTTTTTTTTTTTTTGGAACAAAAAATATCAAAAATCATTCAACTATGAAATATAGCTATTTAGAAAACTAATGATCTCAGAAATATAGAAAATGAAGCAAATATATTTATGAGAAGATGCATACAAAATACCAATTGTAGACATGTTGAATTAAAAGTCTAGGGTGGTAATTAATGATTACTGCCATTCATAATTGTTATAAATAATAATGTTATTGTTCTTAGATCATCTCTAGCAAAGAATATGTCAATATCATGTTCTTAGTTGCATTTTGAAATTATTTTGGTTTTTTTTTAATATTTAAAATTTTTCTTAATTTTTTAAAATATTTACAAATTAAAAAAAATTATGGAATTTTTTTAAATATTTCAAATATTTTTAAAATATTTAAATGAGGGTTATATATATATATATATATAGTCATGGTTAATTTGGCCATTTGATGAGTTAATCCAGACTTTGGATTAATTCTTCAATTTATATTCTACTCCCTCTGTGGGATTGAATAGTCCATCATATATGGAATACTATATCAAGATGGATTAATAGTCCATGCTTCAATTTTTTAACCAAATATATTAATAATTTTATTGGACTATTAGTCTAGTCCCAAACACATTCCCACACAAACAAACATGGCCTAAAAGAATAAAGTTTGATCCACAATTATTTTAGTGAGTGGAAAAAGAAAAAAAAAAAGGACCTAACAATGCAATAAAACTTCAAAACTGTTATTTGATTAACAAAATCTATAACTTCGATACAAGTTGCAAGGTATAACAATTGTTGAGTTAGCAGAAATTTTCACAGAAGTGAGAATTGGACATACCATGAACATGAAGAGTAATGCTACTATACAAATATACAAACATTATCTTACTGTGAAAGAAGAGTTTTGTGCATAACTACTTTCTCCTTCTCCCTTGTTCATGAACAACGCTTCTTTCACCTCCTTCATCTCTGTCTCTCTCTCTCTCTCTCACAGGTTGTGTGTGGTGCCAACTGCAATGGCAATGGCAATGGCGTCTTCCTTTATTATTTGTTTTTTTTTTCTTTTCTTTTTCTTCTCTCGAATTTGTTGCATCAGTTGTCTATTTTAGCTTATTGCAATGTGGTCGGCCATGTTGTCCTTTATGAAAGAACGAAGGATGTGTTTGCGCTTCAATTATTTAGTGCTTTTCTAGTTTTGTTCTATTCCAAAATAATAATAATAAATAAAATAAAAATCAAACTTGCTCTAGGAACACTAAGGCCTCATTTGGGAGCAGCCGGTTTAGCTAAAAAGTTACTAAAATAACTAAAAAGCAATAATTTATACAAAAAGTCAAAAATTCTCTTTTTTCTCTACTTTTTGCACATCTTTTCATAAAAAGTCAAAAAATCATCCCAAACATATTCACTTTGCTTGGTTCCCATTTTTTAAAAACAGCTTTCAAAAAATTCTGCACTCTTATTTTCCGTATTTTTTTGTTTTTACTGAATTTTTTAATATTTTATGTAAATTTTTTACTTTTTAGACACATCTAACAAAAATATACCTAAAAAGTAAAAAAAAATTGTAAAAAAAATCTTTTAAAAATTCACTAAATACCAAAAATATAAAAAAAAAATACAAGAATTTAGTACATTTTTATGTATTTCTTAATTTTTTAAAATATTTTTTCACAATTTTTTTGACACATTTTGAATCACTTTTTGACACATTTTGACACATTTTGCCCGGATTTTGGCCTCCCCGCTCGAGCGGGCCCTTTTGCAATTGCTCCTCCGCTCGAGCGGGATTTTTCAGCCTTCAATATTTTTTTTTTCGAAGGTCTACAGAATCTGGAAGTGTGCTTTCGACGCTTGAGCGTCCGTTTTCACGCTCGAGCGGGAGTTTGTGTCTGACACTCGAGCGGGGCGTTCTACGCTCAAGCGAACTGTGTGTATTTCAGTCCGAGAAGAAGCCATTTTGAATCACTTTTTCGACTCTCTCTCTCTCTCTCTAAAGCGTTCCAAAACCCTAGGTTGAGAGCTTCTCACTCTAGAATACTCGCTCTCTCTGCATTTTGATCTTAATTTAGTGAGACCCAATCCTTGTGCTTTCATTAAAGTGATGGAGCTTCTCAAGACCTCCATTTTCCATCCGAATAGAAGTTGATTTCGCTACTTTTGGAGTCACCATTTGCTCGATTCATCTTCTCCTTTGAGTTCTGAAATTTGAGGTATGGATAACCTACTCCTTTCCATGAGTTTTAACATAAATGTTATGTATTTTGTATAAATGGTGTTGTTTGGGAGTTTTGGAAAGTTTAGACTTTGAAATTGAAATGTATAAAAGAGAGATTTTCTATTTTTGGGATTTCAAGTGTATGAGTGGTCCCTAAAATAATGTTATTGTGTATGATTGATGACATTTAGCGTTAAGTGTAATATTTGAGAAAATGAGGAAGTAGCCTTAATTTAATGTGATTAATTATTGTACCACCAAGTCGTGCCATCCCTTTCAAGTCCACGTGATGATCATGTTTGGATCCACCATATGATGCTTTTATTTGTGGCCATTCATTCTCTGTTGTTTTGTTTTTGGGTGTGTATGTAATGAATTTCTTAGAAAATGTATTATATATCCAAGTAATATAATCCAAAAAAGAGGGGATGATGGTTGATGGGGCCCAATCAGAAGGTGGAGATGGGGGTGTCTGGTTCATTGCATTTTGTGTGGAGCCTGTAATATCAATTCGGTCACAAGACAATAATAACTCACCGACCAAACCAAACCAAGAGGGCAATTTTGTTTTTGAATGAGTACATATCACTGCTGTGGCAGCTGGCCTCTTTGCTATAGTTTCTGCCATAGTCGCTGAAGTCTTCTTCTTCTTTCCACTAATTCAACCAGGAACAAAAAATAAAGAAAGAAAGCAACAACAAAGCTTGATAGTAGCTAGCTCCATGCCTCGACAGAAAAGTAATTTTTATAGCAAAGAGACCAGCTACCACAGTAGAGATGTGAATAGGGTAATGCTAGAGACATCAAATTTCCTACCAAACAAATGATCAAATGTCTCACATAGGTGTGGGGTCCGCAATTTTGTGGGCCCCACATCCATGTGAGACATTTAATCATTTATTTGGTAGAAAATTTGGGACCTCTAAGCATTTTCCATGTGAATAATGGCCTGAAAGCCTATCTATATAGTCTGTGTGTTCGGCAAAGTACTAATTTTTATAGCAAAGAGGCCAGCTACCACAGTAGTGATGTGAATAATGGCCTGAAAGCCTATCTATAGTCTGTGTGTTCAGCTACGCCTAAGTTAAAAAAAAACTCCTAATTCAAATCTGACCCGGCCCGACTTGGAGAGAAATTATTGGTTGATTTTGCGGAATTGTCACGTGATACCACAAAAGTGTTTTAATTAATAAAAAAAAATGAGACTTGTAATTTTATATTAAATGATTAAAAAATAATAGAAACATGATATATTATTATTGGTGAGTAGTACGCCACGTGACGTCCAATAACACTAAATAATTTTTTCAGCTTTTGAAACTAAAAGGGTGTGTTTGGTTTTTGTTTTTAGATAAATTTTTAATTTTTTTTTTTGCAAAGAGAGTTTAGAAATTTTTTTTGTTTGTTTTGTTGTATATTTTGAAAATAGTTTTGGAGTTTAAGATGATTTGATATTTTATTGAAGTTTGAGAAGATGTGTGTGAAAGAAAAAAATTATTAACAATGAAAGAGAAGAGAGAAAAAGTGACTGGTTGATGTATACGAAAAAGAAAGTGATTTTGAAAAAAAAATTCAAAAAATTTAAACCAAATAAATTTTTTTAAAAAAAATTTAAAAATTATATCTTAAACAAACTCAAACCCTCCCAAGCTAGCCTTACAATCTTGCTGGTACAATCTCGAACTTGCCCAACAAACTCATATAAACAATTATAAATATTATAAAACTGAAAAATGATTTGATTTTGATCCTGAACAATTATAAAACTCATATAAACAATTATAAATTTTGTGGGTAAATTAGGCCGATATCCTTATATTTTATCTTTTGTTTTATTTTGGTTTTTACATTTTTAATTGATTTGATTTTGATTCTTAATTTTAGATTTTACGTCAATTTGATCAAATTGATAATATCATTTTTTTTTTGAAGAAAAATTATCACTAAATTAGTTGAGATTAACTTACTGTGTCTCATAATTTTGAGACACATGACACTTATATACATATTTTTTTAAAAAAAAATATTAAGAGTTGTAATCCATTTGACCAAATTGAAACAAAGTCAAAATTTTAAAATCAAAATCGAGCTAATTAAAATTACACCTTAATATTTAGTCATTACATCTTAAATATTAACTTAAATAAATACATTTTTCATTTTAAGTATATCTTTTTATTTAAAAAAAGTAAAATTTGGTAAATTATATATATACACATATTAATATGTACATATGTACATACAAGAAAGATTTAAAGGGTATGTATCGTATGCACCTTATAACTAAAAAAAAATGACATAACTTCATACTTTATAGTCATAACTATAAAATAAAAAAATAAATAAAAAGTCATAACCAAATAATACATGAGATATAACCAAAGATTTTATGAGTCATAACTAAAATAAGATCGCAACTAATGAAAAAAAAATAATCATAACTGAAAAAGAAATTTGTATAACTTAAAAGTATAATATAAGTTAAGAATACATACGAAAAGAAGTATTTATAGTAAAATTTTACATGTACATAATATATATTAATAATCATGCTAGGGCGAGCAGGAAGAAACATTTCCAAATCCAACCCATCAAAGAAAAACTTTAAAAAATAATTATGATCCAATTTAATGAGTTTAAATATCAATCTTAAGACTTTAAAAGAAGTATTAAAATTGACAAACACTTATAGAGAAATTATTTAATACTCTAACAACAAATCTAGTTTGTTTGGTTTGAATTTTCAGGATTCACTTTTCAGAAAATTGAAATTTTTTATTTTTCATTTTTTTTTCACTAAATTTTTTTAATATTCTAAGCAATTTTTTAAAAAAATTTAGATACACCTAACATAAATATACTTAAAAAGTATAATATTTGTAAAAAAGTCTTTAAAAAATTCACTAATTACCAAAAACATAAATAAAAAAAAATACAAAAATTCAGTACACTTTTCGTATTCTTATGCATTTTGTTAGACATATTTGATTTTGTTTTGATTATGTTTTTGATTATTTGAAAGAATTAATTTGATTGACATATCTCAAATTATTCATATTAATCTATCCTATCATAATGTTATTTTTGAAGATCAAAATGAAATTCAATCTTGCCTGATCTAAGTTCCTTAAATCATCTTAGGTTAATTGATTATTTGATGCTCTAATTTTGTTGTTTTTTGAGTTCAAAAACATATGGTAAATCAGCCCAAAAACGATAGCAAAACAACCCAAAGCAGCAACATAAAAGCAGCAGTTCAAAGCTGCAGCAAAAGGAGAGTAGCCAACTGAGGGGGCGGTCGATCGGTCGGTTGACCGATCGGACGACTAGGCGATTAACCGGTCAGGCCAATTTTCAGCAAACTTTTGCTTCTCTGTAGGGACATCCGGGTGGACAATCGAAAGGACATTGGGCGGCTGACCTGTGGGTGGTTTCAGCTCAGCTTCGCTCCGGTTGTCAAACCAGCAGTATACTCGGCAACTGCGGCAGTCATCCTTGACGACCGAGACTTGACCGGACATCCGGGAGGACGTCCGGGCAAACGACCACCAAGAACAAAACTTCATCTGGAGCATCTGGGCGGACGACCACTCTATGTTGTAACAGCTCTTTTTCAAATGTTCTTGTCATTAATCAGACCCGTCTTTCAACATCTAATCATGTATGGGAAATGCAAGTTTCCCATCTTTTTCAAATGTTCTTGTCATTAATCAGACCCATCTTTTAACCAAAATCTCACTCAATCTTCTCAACACAAGCAATAGACAATGGTCGATGAATTTCTCCTTAACAAATAGAAGTGCTCTTGCTGAAGAAAGATAGCAACAACACAAGTAAGAAAATATTTCTGATCTTTCATTAATCTCATTCTCTCTGATCATTTGAGAAGTTCTTCATCTGGTTTTCATTTTTCTCTCGGAAATTATACATTGAGTTTTATAGCTTTGAGCCCATTTACTTGTATGAGGTTTACTAATACACATACAGAGCTTCAACATTTTATATCTATCTTTGAGAAATTATCCTTGTAGCTTTCTTTGAAAACAAAAACACCTTCATTAAGTCTTGTAAGAGTGTGGTACATTCTGTGTTTTTGATTCCTTGAGAGTGATTGAAAATTACTTAAGAAGTGCAGGGTTTAGAACTTGGAAAGTCTGTGTAAAATCTGTGGAGGTTTTCTCCATTTGTAAAGAGGTTGGTAGCGCTCTTGTGAAGTTAGAAGATAGTGGAAAATCTCAAGTGAAACTTGAGGAGTGGATGTAGGCTTGGTTGAAACTGAACCACTATAAATCTGTTTGTTTTTTCTTCCCTAATCTCTTTACTTAACTGATATAACTATTTACTGTGATTAGCTGGTTACATTGTTAAAGTTGTTCATTGTGATTAATCATTAATTGTTATTCATCAATTTATCCTCAGTTAATCATTTGTTGTACTAGTTATTTTTATTGGGGCATTATTAATTTTTATTTATAAAAATCCAATTCACCCCCACTTGGATTGCCTTTTGGGTAATATATTTATTAATTTTAAAAAATATTTTTTTACAAATATAATTACTTTTTAAATACATCTAAGTAAGGTGCATTTAAAAAATAAAAAAATTACTTAAAATTTTAGAAATATTCACTAAAAATAAAGAAACACAAAAAAATAAAAAATTTAAATTTAAAAAAATTAAATCTAAAAAAACTAAAATCAAGCACACTAAATAATATTTTAAAATAATAATGATTTGTCTAAATTGTAGGACCTACTAATTTTATATTAAAATTTTAAAAGACAATTAATTAAATGTCAATGTTCAATAATTTATCTACCATGTTTTTGACAAACATAGAAATTAAATAATTTCTTGTCCATGTTGATAATTCTACTTTGGCCCGGTTTGGTAGAGCTGTGGGAAAGTGATTATAAATTATAACTTAACAGATTATAACTTACAACTGTGAACATAAGCTGATAATCTGTTTGGTGCAGCTATGAGATTATGGATTTAAGAAGCAGAATAGTGTTTGATAAATAAGCTGTAAAATAGTTTTTTGCTGTATAATTATCATTTTTGCCATTATGAACATAAAAATTGATAATTTTGTCATTTTCTTCACTTTAAATTTTGAAAAATTTATTTCATTAATGGAAGTTAATATAATTAGTACCTAATTTGGCACATTTTTCCGTTACCTCATTTGTTTTTTTTTAATTTTAATATTGAGTTCACAAGAGAAGCCTAGCTCTTACTCATAATTTCTTTAGTTATACCTCATATTGTATTTAATTATGATATATTTTTTTTCAATTATGATTTAAAAAATTAAAATTAATTTTTTTTTAATTAAAAGATATATATGGTTCATATGTAGCGTTTCCTCGTCTTATTTATTCTTTATAACCTGAATGCTATTTGATCAAATTGGATAGACCTGTGATGAGAGCAAAATTAGTAAATAAAATAAAATAGAGAAACAACTAGAGGACATTAAAATGGATAATTGCCAAAAAAATCATCAAAACTTTTTCCTTTTTAAAGGTAACTATAAATGAACATAACTTTGAGGCACAGCCTCAACAATTCATATAGGAACACGAAAACAATACTTCTATCAAACAAGTTTTCATGATTTTAATTTTTTTTTCTTTTCAAAAAACAAAAAGCTATAACAAACATCCCCTAAATTTGGCAGTAGCTGAACAATACAATCAAATCTAAATTCCGTCTCTGAGTAGTCTTGAGAAAATTGTTGATGCTATTTGCTAAGCAAACCAAACATATTATCTCCATTAGTTTCTCTTCACTCCCAACAAATATGAAAGGCAGAGAAGCTGTGAGCTCTGAGTATGTTGAAGTAGGCCTTGCTAGCTCAAACTGAGACCTGAGATCCATGTCCACTATCAACCTCACTGTTTCATCACCACCACCATTGCTGTCCTTCATCAAAACATCTATATATTCATAATCACCTGTAAATTCAAACACTTTGTGAACATAACACCACACACATATCAGAAATGGGTCCTTACCAAAATCCACAGAGAGAGAGAGAGAGAGAGAGAGAGAGATGAGAGAGAGAAAGAGACCTGAAGGGCGACCAATGGTAGTAGGCCAGGAAGTTCTACAGAGAGGCGCTTCAAAACCATCCCTGATAAGCCTCAGGACAATCCATGTTGATGCTAAGTCCAAAAACATGCAGCACCATTAATAGGTACCAAGGTATTATATCATTGAATGTTGTTATCCAGCAAGCTAGCAGATTGGGTTATGATAACAGCACAAGTCCAAAGTAGTGGTTGGATTTCAGATTTGATAGCAACACAAGTCCAAAAACACATTGACAACCCAGTTTCTTATAAGTTTTTTCAGAGTTCTATAAGCAACTATTAAGTTTTTTTATTATACTTTTTACCTAACCTCAATCAATGAATATCACAACCCAATTTTTTATTATACTTTTTACCTAACCTCAATCAATGAATATCACAACCCAATTTTTTATTATACTTTTTACCTAACCTCAATCAATGAATATCACAACCCAATTTTTTATTATACTTTTTACCTAACCTCAATCAATGAATATCACAACCCAATTTTTTATTATACTTTTTACCTAACCTCAATCAATGAATATCACAACCCAATTTTTTATTATACTTTTTACCTAACCTCAATCAATGAATATCACAACCCAATTTTTTATTATACTTTTTACCTAACCTCAATCAATGAATATCACAACCCAATTTTTTATTATACTTTTTACCTAACCTCAATCAATGAATATCACAACCCAATTTTTTATTATACTTTTTACCTAACCTCAATCAATGAATATCACAACCCAATTTTTTATTATACTTTTTACCTAACCTCAATCAATGAATATCACAACCCAATTTTTTATTATACTTTTTACCTAACCTCAATCAATGAATATCACAACCCAATTTTTTATTATACTTTTTACCTAACCTCAATCAATGAATATCACAACCCAATTTTTTATTATACTTTTTACTTAACCTTAATGAATGAATATCACAACCCAAGTCAATAAATGAGCTGTGTGCAAATGAAATGTATGAGCTGTGTGCAAACTAAAACAGATACAATGCAATGAACTGCGTGCAAATCGAATATTTGGGCTGTGTGCTCAGATTTCAAAATCAGTGGGCTGCGTGTTCATCTCAAAGTTTGGGCTGCGTGTTCAACCTTCTGACAAGTGTGTGCTGCGTGTCCACCTTCAATTTGGGCTGCGTGTTCAGAAATTCAGAGTTTGGGCTATGTGTTCTACTCTCGACAAGTGTGTGCTGCGTGTTCACCTTCAGATGGGCTGTGTGTTCAGAAATTCAAAGTTTGGGCTGCGTGTTCAACCTTCTGTCAAGTGTGTGTTGCGTGTCCACCTTCAACTTGGGCTGCGTGTTTAGAAATTCAGAGTTTGGGCTGTGTGTTCTACTCTCGACAAGTGTGTGCTGCGTGTTCACCTTCAGATGGGCTGTGTGTTCAAAAATTTAAAGTTTAGGCTGCGTGTTCAACCTTCTGTCAAGTGTGTGCTGCGTGTTCACCTTCAGATGGGCTGTGTGTTCAGAAATTCAAAGTTTGGCCTGCGTGTTCAACCTTCTGTCAAGTGTGTGCTGCGTGTCCACCTTTAACTTGGGCTGCGTGTTCAGATATTCAGAGTTTGGGCTGTGTGTTCTACTCTCGACAAGTGTGTGCTGCGTGTTCACCTTCAGATGGGCTGTGTGTTCAGAAATTTAAAGTTTGGGCTGCGTGTTCAACCTTCTGTCAAGTGTGTGCTGCGTGTTCACCTTCAGATGGGCTGTGTGTTCAGAAATTCAAATTTTAGACTGCGTGTTCAACCTTCTGTCAAGTGTGCATTGCGTGTCCACCTTCAACTTGGGCTGCGTGTTCAGAAATTCAGAGTTTGGGCTGTGCGTTCTACTCTCGACAAGTGTGTGCTGCGTGTCCACCTTCAGATGGGCTGTGTGTTCAGAAATTCAAAGTTTGGGCTGCGTGTTCAACCTTCTGTCAAGTATGTGCTGTGTGTGCACCTTCCATTCAGGCCGTGTGTTCGGAAATTCAAAGTTTGGGCTGCGTGTTCAACTTTCTAACAAATGTGTGTGCTGTGTGTTCACCTTCAACTCATGGACTGTGTGTTTAGAAATTCAAGTGATTGAACTATGTGTTCGAGATGCAAATAGAATACGGTGTCATAGACTAAAGCATTCTAAACAAGCGGTGCACTCAAATGAACGGATAAACATAACATGGAATGCATGGAAAATGCAGGTTACATCGTAGAAAATATGAAAGCAAGGAACATACCTCTTGCGCCTGATGGCAGAGGTGGGACTCCGGCTCCTGCAATAAAAGATCCCTGGGTGCTCGATCATTGAAATCGGTAAAATGGTAGAAAACTGCCTGGGGGAGCACATGTGTCGGAGGGTCGTACCTCTCGGGTATGATGGGTCGAACCCTCGGAGGCAGAGCCATGATGTCGGGATCATCCCCGGCGCCTGGAGGACCTCCAGCATGAGGGAAATGACCAGTCATTTCAGAAAATCTGCAAAAATGAGCAAAAATGAGCAAAATGAGCCAAAATTGGAAAAAGTCAAAAAAAGTCAACTCTCGGGAAATGAAAAAGTCAACAAAAGTCAACCCCTGAGGAAATCTTCTAAATGTTGAGACAAACTTACCTCAAGTGGTGAAAATGAGAAAAGAAGCACCGAAATCAAAATTTAATCGGTCCAAAGTGACGAAAACTGAAAGATTTTGCGAAAACAACTTGCGTGGGGCGTTGGAAAACGCGTATAGAGCACAGATCTGAGAGAGAAAATGGTCTAGGAAGGTAGAGAAGGTGTTTTCGGAGCTGGAGTTGTGAGCAAAAAGTGTTTGGCCGAATGGATTTAAAGAAAAGAGAGTGAAAGTACCAAAATGCCCACGGTTTTGGAAAAGTGGCCGGCCAGCCACCTTTTCGGGCAGGCCAGCCACCCCTCTCCCTCAAGCTTGGTCGGTGGCCTCCCCCTGGGAATAAAACTGGCCGGTGGTGTTCCCCAGGTGCCCACCAAGCTCTCTGCAAATTTTGGGGAGGATTGGAGTCCCCGGGACCTGAAAAAGTACAAGAGAAGTGCACTCTCCGTCGCGAAATTGCTTTACCGGAACTTCAACTTCAACTTTCGATGCGTTTCTCATCGTTACTCGTCAAAAGTGAGATGTATCCTTTTTGACCATGTTGCGACCCCTCCGGGAGGTAAACCGGAGGTCGCGATTGAGTCGCCCTCGTCAAAAGCTTGCATTTCTTTGATTGTCGTTTTGTGACAAACATGCATTCAAATTCACACTTGTTCTGCATTGTTATGCACGTCACTTGCATTCTCATGCACACCACTCATACTATTGTGCACGTTTCGCGGGTGTTGTCATACCCTCATCCTTAATCCGCGTTGTCACGCGCGTTACTCCTCGCATTGCAATGCACTTTTCTATCGATGCCGCGATTGTCTGCATTCAATATCGTTTTGAAAATATGTTGTTAACAATGTTGTGCTTGTTGAGTCTCTCTCTTTTCAGGGCACGATATTGTATGTACGGTTCATTTGAGTCCAATCTTCAAAATATTTCTGCATATCATTTTGCATCCTGCCCCTGAACTACGCTGGTTTGATACGAACCGCGCAGGTATTCTATCTTCTCCGTGTGAGACGTGGCGAGAATTGAATAAGTCTCCGCATTCTTAACTGCATGAAATGTAGTTGTCGCTTTGCATTCTTGCTTAAAATTGTTGCATTTAATTGTGAATACTTGCTCCATTACAGCTTGCTGCATTTCCATGATCATGAGGTATCTTTGGCTTTTTGCATTGTCAGTTGCATTTTGCCCCTGCCTGCGGGCATGCCTGCGGGCACATCTCTGTTTATCTTGTCCATTTGTCTAAGTCTTCGTCCTTGTCAAAAATGGGTCGTCTCTGGGCTTTGACATTTACTCCCGTCACTTATGACTTCCGAGTTCTGTCAAAGAGGGGCAACTATAGACACCCCATTTTTGACCGACCATAAGACTCAGACGTCACTGATTGAGCACTCGATGATATTGCATATTGTGCTCGTTCAGAAGTTTCAGAGTCCCGGCTGCGAGCCTTGCCTCCGAACTTCCGAACTCTTTCGTGCCTTGCCTTGGTTTGCAAACCAGGCTCTGTTTTCTCTTCCCGAAGGAAGGGAGAGGTCTCGTAGATCATCTCTTAGTGGCCGTAGGCTACGTTTCGTGGTCGTAGGCCATTTTTTCCATTTGGAGCCCGGTTTTCAGTTTTTCGGAGCCGACGGCCGTGTGCCTCAGTTCAGGACCGCCTAACCACCTCCGTTTGCTCCGATTTTTGGCACACACCTTATTTTCTCCCTTTTGGGGGACACTGTGGCTCGAGAGACCAACTTCGTGGTAAAATGCCACCTCCGGTGTTTAACAGCCCATTTTCGGGGCCCCGAGCTGCGCGTTTTGGTCCCCGAACCTCCGTTTTGCATCCGTTTTGGTTCATTTTTGGTGGAGACCTTATTTTCATTGTTCGAAAGCTTGTAGGAGGGTGGGAGGCCAGCAATTGTTCTGAAAAGCCAGCTTTGTTTCTTCATCGCTCTCCGTCGCCCGTTTTCCTCACTAAAAAACTAATGCTGACCACCCCGGGGCCACTTTCTTTAGCCATAAACCCCATATTTGTGTTGTACACACCTGGAAGGCCACCAATATGTATAGCCCGGTGTAGACACCCCATTTTTGACTGCCTTTAAGACTTGGACGCAACTGATGGTTTACTTGGTGGAGAAAGGTGTGCAGGGAAAAGGTGCAATTTCTTCGGCAAAGAGAGAGTGAAATCTCAACTTCATACCCCTGTTCTGGACCAAAACAATCTTGATCAAAAGATTTTAGTCTTAAAACCCTCTCTCTCAAAAATGTTTTTGAAATAAAGTTCCTACGATGTTCTGACGCTCGCATTTTGTTAAATGTTGCGCTTTTCGGTAAACCGAGCAAGGGCAAAGTGGAAAAGAATGAAAGAGAGATGAAATCTTTGAAAAAATCTTTCAAAATACCTTACTTAGGGGTTTGAAGTTGAAGAAAAGAGGAGAAGAGGGAAGAAATCCAGTTGGGGGAGAAAATGGGCATGAACCGTTAAGAAAGAGTCGAACAGCCCTCGCCGAATCGGGCCTATTCATTGGCATACTTGGAATCAAGCTATGAGGCCACCATCGTTAGAAATAATACTTCCGGGGATTCATTTTGCACTCAAGAATCTCCGAAATCCAATTCCGGACGGGGAAGATATAGTTGATCGAAGTAGGGCATCACTCCGGTTGGACCGAAATCTGCGCGGCTTCACCAAAAAGGGCATAACTTTTTCCACATTTAATTCAAGGTTTGCACCA